TTAATGGCCATGGGGTGTAGATTGGCCTGAGCAAATGTGGTGCCGGTGGAACGAAAGCCTTCGGAGGAGTTAGCGAAATTCCAATGTGTGCGGATCGGCAAAAAATGCGGAATAACCCTTTAACCGTACATTTGACAGATACGCGCGCATTGACTTTTTCGTAGATCTTATTGAGATACATGTGTGTGTCAATTTTTGTGTCATTTTGCCAAAGCGTACAGGTGTTACACTCAACAATGTGTATTTTCACCTTAGGGGACAAGAAAAAATGGACTTTTTTCTCCTGCCATGGGGGGGCGCTCTTTTGGCGAGTAAAAATTCCTTCACAAATGTGTTGATGGCTGGACATTGCATCATCCTAGAAAACTTGGAGGCCAGTGAGGGCAAAAATAAAAAGTTATAAGACTTTTAAATATGTGGATCTTAGGGTTATCTTTGGGGCCCCCTAGAACCTAAACCGTGGGGTGCAGCGTCATGATTTGAATAACTTTTAATGGCCATGGGGTGTAGATTGGCCTGAGCAAATGTGGTGCCGGTGGAACGAAAGCCTTCAGAGGAGTTAGCGAAATTCCAATGTGTGCGGATCGGCAAAAAATGCGAAATAACCCTTTAACCGTACATTTGACAGATACGCCCGCGCTGACTTTTTTGTAGATCTTATTGAGATACATGTGTGTGTCAATTTTTGTGTCATTTTGACAAAGCGTACAGGCGTGACAGTCAATAGTGTGAATTTCCACCTTAGGGGGCGCTATGGAGCCATTTTGCATTTTATTGTTTGGGCGACTTCAGAATATCGAATTTTTCACCAGGCCCGGTCGTCCTGCCAAATTTCATGAGTTTTTGCCAGTGGGAAGTGGGCCATTTTCCAGTTCAAAGGGGAGGAAAAAGAAAAAAGAAAGAAAGAAACAAAGAAAAACCACTTGGGGAATAATAGGGCTCTCGCAGCTGCTTAGCAGCTACGCTCGGGCCCTAACTAGGACCCCGTTGGGGCACTGGCGGGCCCGAGCCGTGTCGCGTCCCCCCCCCCAACGTGCTGCCTCCCCGTCCCATTTGTGTCCTCTGGCCATCGCCCTCTCTGGTAACGCCCATCACTGCAAAGACCCTTTTCCTTCATCGGCGTTTGCTGTTCTTCCTGCCAGTGCGTGTTGCTTTCACTTACACTTGCCACAGCCAGCCTCGTGAGTGCCTAGCCTATTGGATATCACTGTCACCTACACAGGACAGTCATTACCTTTCTATTAATACTTTGTGTTTTAATTTCACATTAATTTCCAAATTGTATAAACGACTGGAAAAAACTTGAGCCCCTGCCCCTGTATAATCATGTGCACGTCTCTGTTCTAGCTCTAAGGTAAATCTTCACTGCTCATGTTCTCCTCAGAAGCAGTCACCTCACTCCCCTCAGGTTACTGTACACATGCACCAACTGCCTGCTTCAGGTTTGGATGGAGCTTCATGGTTGTCTTTTGGAGAAATGACCAGTCAAGTTGTGTTTGAAATTTGATTTTTTTCAGGGGCAAAAGGAGCCTCTGCATTCTTGTCAAATATGTAAATAGCATGTTTTTGCAGGTGCTAAAAAAAAGACTCTGAGTGTGTGTGTGTGTGCGTGTGTGTGTGTGTCTGTGTGTGTGTGTGTGTGTGTGCGTTCAAGTCACATGACATATTTAACCGGATGTAGCTGCAAGACGGAGCCTCGTTGACTCTCCGTTTCAATTTATCTCAAAAGTGAGGACCTCAACCTATATACCAGTTTTTAAATTGTGTTGATAGGCCAAATAAAACCAGAGTTATGATAAATTATGTCCGCGATACTTGTTTTCTGCTTATTTTGATCACGTTCGGCGCTCGATCGCGCTGTATGAGACAGGAAAACATAGCATGCAGACATTAGCGACAGGTCTTACAGGCGGAAAAGGCTTGCCAAAGGAAAAAAAATACACACCACAACATCTCTCCTATTGGTGGAAAACTTCACCACAACAACCAATCCAAAATTATATGGTGACTGATTGACAAGGGGCGGGCGCTTACGTTCTTCCTGCAATATGAGAAGGGAGGGAGGGACTCTCAGCAGGGATGCAGTCTGGGACACGTAGTTGCAAACCTAGCGACTTTGTTGTTAGATTCAATGACTTTTCAGACCCCCTAACGACTTTTTTTTTAGAAAGAAAGTGACTTTTATCGACTTCTTCTGGAGTTTAGAGACTCTGACATGAAGCAGGCTTTCCTTACTGAGGAGTTAGCAACGCTGCTAAGGGTGCAGAGCCACACATGCGCTCCGAGCTCTGCATGGGAGACTGAAGCTGACAGAGCTGCAGCAGTTAGCAGGTTTCACCCTCAGAGACCACCAGGGGTTCATGTTGAGGCATTTTCAGTTTTTTTTTTTTTTTTTTTGCCATAGACACTGTCAGCACAATCTGCAGTTACACTAACAAAAATGCTGCAAAAAACAAAGAATTATGGAAAAATTACACATGGACTAACATAGAGGAGGATCTACAAAAGTTTTTTACATCATGTTTTACATCATGCATCATTTACATCATGTTTTTTTGTAGTGGCATAAATAAAAAGTGACATTTGTGAGACTATACAGTGTTTTGTAAATAATTTTACAAAGAACACCTGGGCCATTGCCTGCATTTTGATGTCAATAGAGGTAAATTACTATGTTCTTTGTTAAAAATTTGCATATGTTTTGAAGTTTACAATTTTTATTTGAAGTTTAAGTTTTAAAAACAGTTCATCACACATATTTGTGGTTTTCACAGTAAAAACGTTACTTTTTTCCACTCGGATTTTATGTTTTGTGTGTGAATTTGGGTCCAATGTGTAAATATAGTATGTCAAAATGATAAAATAACAGTAAATTGACACAGGTGAGGTTGTGCTGAAAAAAATGATACCAGGCAAGGCAAGGTAAAAATTTTGTAAGAGGAAATATAAAGGTAAAATCTAAAGTAGTCAAAAACGGCCAATAGTGACTCACAGACTCCACAGACAAGTCCCTTTGGCGCCACTCAGTGGGCAAAACTACTTTGTCTACTGTAATGTATATTTGGGTCATCTTTGGCGCCCCCTAAAACGTAAACCGTGGGGTGCAGCGTCATGATTTTTACAACTTTGAATGGCCATGGAGTGTAGATTGGCCTGAGCAAATTTGGTGTCAGTGGGACGAAAGCCTTAGGAGGAGTTAGCGAAATTCCAATGTGTGCGAATCGGCAAAAAATGCAAAATAGCCCTTTTACCGTACATTATACAGATACGCGCTCTTTGACTTTTTCGTAGATCTAATTGAGATACACATGATTGTCAATTTTTGTGTCATTTTGCCAAAGCGTACAGGCGTGACAGTCAACAATGTGTATTTTCACCTTAGGGGACAAGAAAAAATGGACTTTTTTCTCCTGCCATGGGGGGGCGCTCTTTTAGGGAGTAAAAATTCCTTCACAAATGTGTTGATGGCTGGACATTGCATCATCCTAGAAAACTTGGAGGCCAGTGAGGACAAAAATAAAAAGTTATAAGACTTTTAAAAATGTGGATTTTTGGGTTATCTTTGGCGCCCCCTAGAACGTAAACCGTGGGGTGCAGCGTCATGATTTGAATAACTTTTAATGGCCATGGGGTGTAGATTGTCCTGAGCAAATGTGGTGCCGGTGGAACGAAAGCCTTAGGAGGAGTTAGCCACATTCCAATGTGTGCGGATCGGCAAAAAATGCGAAATAACCCTTTAACCGTACATTTGACAGATACGCGCGCATGGACTTTTTTGTAGATCTTATTGAGATACATGTGTGTGTCAATTTTTGTGTCATTTTGACAAAGCGTACAGGCGTGACAGTCAATAGTGTGAATTTTCACCTTAGGGGACAAGAAAAAATGGACTTTTTTCTCCTGCCATGGGGGGGCGCTCTTTTGGGGAGTAAAAATTCCTTCACAAATGTGTTGATGGCTGGACATTGCATCATCCTAGAAAACTTGGAGGCCAGTGAGGACAAAAATAAAAAGTTATAAGACTTTTAAATATGTGGATTTTAGGGTTATCTTTGGCGCCCCCTAGAACCTAAACCGTGGGGTGCAGCGTCATGATTTTGATAACTTTTAATGGCCATGGGGTGTAGATTGGCCTGAGCAAATGTGGTGCCGGTGGAACGACAGCCTTCGGAGGAGTTAGCGAAATTCCAATGTGTGCGGATCGGCAAAAAATGCGAAATAACCCTTTAACCGTACATTTGACAGATACGCCCGCACTGACTTTTTTGTAGATCTTATTGAGATACATGTGTGTGTCAATTTTTGTGTCATTTGGACAAAGCGTACACGCGTGACAGTCAATAGTGTGAATTTTCACCTTAGGGGGCGCTATGGAGCCATTTTGCATTTTCTTGTTTGGGCGACTTCGGAATATCAAATTTTTCACCAGGCCCGGTCGTCCTTAGATCCATTAGGTTTAAATAGAAAAAGCATTAAAATATGTTAGGATTATAGCATATGACAAATGTGTGCCTCTCAGTGGCATAACTACTTTGTCTGCTGGCTCTGCAGTCGATTGACGCTCCCCAGCGTTCAAGTCACATGACATATTTAACCGGATGTAGCTGCAAGACGGAGCCTCGTTCACCCTCCGTTTCAACTTATCTCAAAAGTGAGGACCTCAAACTATATACCAGTTTTTTAAATTGTGTTGATAGGCCAAATAAAACCAGAGTTATGATAAATTATGTCCGCGATACTTTTTTTCTGCTTATTTTGATCACGTTCGGCGCTCGATCACGCTGTATGAGACAGGAAAACATAGCATGCAGACATTAGCGACAGCTCTTACAGGCGGAAAAGGCATGCCAAAAGAAAAAAAAAACACACCACAACATCTCTCCTATTGGTGGAAAACTTCACCACAACAACCAATCCAAAATTATATGGTGACTGATTGACAAGGGGCGGGCGCTTACGTTCTTCCTGCAATATGAGAAGGGAGGGAGGAACTCTCAGCAGGGATGCAGTCTGGGAAACGTAGTTGCAAACCTAGCGACTTTGTTGTTAGATTCAATGACTTTTCAGACCCCCTAACGACTTTTTTTTAGAAAGAAAGGGAATTTTATCGACTTCCTCTGGAGTTTAGAGACTCTGACATGAAGCAGGCTTTCCTTACTGAGGAGTTAGCAACGCTGCTAAGGGTGCAGAGCCACACATGCGCTCCGAGCTCTGCATGGGAGACTAGAGCTGAGAGAGCTGCAGCAGTTAGCAGGTTTCACCCTCAGAGACCACCAGGAGTTCATGTTGAGGCATTTTCAGTTTTTTTTTTTTTTTGCCATAGACACTGTCAGCACAATCTGCAGTTACACTAACAAAAATGCTGCAAAAAACAAAGAATTATGGAAAAATTACACATGGACTGACATAGAGGAGGATCTACACAAGTTTTTTACATCATGTTTTACATCATGCATCATTTACATCATGTTTTTTTGTAGTGGCATAAATAAAAAGTGACATTTGTGAGACTATACAGTGTTTTGTAAATAATTTTACAAAGAACGCCTGGGCCATTGCCTGCATTTTGATGTAAATAGAGGTAAATTACTATGTTCTTTGTTAAAAATTTGCATATGTTTTGAAGTTTACAATTTTTATTTGAAGTTTAAGTTTTAAAAACAGTTCATCACACATATTTGTGGTTTAATTTCACATTAATTTCCATATTGTATAAATGACTGGAAAAAACTTGAGCCCCTGCCCCTGTATAATCATGTGCACGTCCCTGTTCTAGCTCCAAGGTGAATCTTCACTGCTCATGTTCTCCTCAGAAGTAGTCACCTCACTCTCCTCAGGTTACTGTACACATGCACCAACTATCTGCTTCAGGTTTGGATGGAGCTTCATGGTTGTCTTTTGGAGAAATGAACAGTCAAGTTGTGTTTGAAATTTGATTTTTTTCAGGGGCAAAAGGAAGCCTCTGCATTCTTGTCAAATATGTAAACAGCATGTTTTTGCAGGTGCTAAAAAACAGACTCTGAGTGTGTGTGTGTGTGTGTGTGTGTGTGTGTGTGTGTGTGTGTGTTGGCGTGTGTGTATATGTGTGTGTGTCCGGCAGTACTCTGTACTCCTGCAGTGGCCAAAAAGACTTTTAAGAATGTGGATTTTTGGGTCATCTTTGGCGCCCCCTAGAACTGCAGTACTCTGTACTCCTGCAGTGGCCAAAATGACTTTTAAGAATGTGGATTTTTGGGTCATCTTTGGCGCCCCCTAGAACGTAAACCGTGGGGTGCAGCGTCATGATTTTTACAACTTTGAATGGCCATGGGGTGTGGATTGCCCTGAGCAAATTTGGTATCGGTGGGACGAAAGCCTTAGGAGGAGTTAGCCACATTCCAATGTGTGCGAATCGGCAAAAAATGCGAAATAGCCCTTTAACCATACATTTGACAGATACGTGCCTATTGACTTTTTTGTAGATCTTATTGAGATACACGTGATTGTCAAATTGTGTGTCAATATGACAAAGTGTATAGGCGTGACACTCAACAATGTGTATTTTTACCTTAGGAGACAAGAAAAAATTGACTTTTTTCTCCTGCCATGGGGGGGCGCTCTTTTGGGGAGTAAAAATTCCTTCACAAATGTGTTGATGGCTGGACATTGCATCATCCTAGAAAACTTGGAGGCCAGTGAGGACAAAAATAAAAAGTTATAAGACTTTTAAGAATGTGGATTTTTGGGTTATCTTTGGCGCCCCCTAGAAAGTAAACCGTGGGGTGCAGCATCATGATTTGTACAACTTTTAATGGCCATGGGGTGTAGATTGGCCTGAGCAAACTTGGTGCCGGTGGAACGAAAGCCTTCGGAGGAGTTAGCGAAATTCCAATGTGTGCGGATCGGCAAAAAAAGCGAAATAGCCCTTTAACCGTACATTTGGCAGATACGCCCGCACTGACTTTTTCGTAGATCTTATTGAGATACACATGTGTGTCAAATTTTGTGTCATTTTGACAAAGCGTACAGGCATCAGGTGAGTTTTCACCATAGGGGGCGCTATGGAGCCATTTTTCATTTTTTTGTTTGGACGACTTCAGAATATCAAATTTTTCACCAGGCCCGGTCGTCCTGCCAAATTTCCTGAGTTTTCGCCAGTGGGAAGTGGGCCATTTTCCAGTTTAAAGCGGAGGAAAAATAACGAACTAGGACCCCGTTGGGGCACTGGCGGGCCCGAGCTGTGTCGCGTCCCCCCCCCAACGCGCTGCCTCCCCGTCCCATTTGTGTCCTCTGGCCATCGCCCTCTTTGGTAACGCCCATCACTGCAAAGACCCTTTTCCTTCATCGGCGTTTGCTGTTCTTCCTGCCAGTGCGTGTTGCTTTCACTTACACTTGCCACAGCCAGCCTCGTGAGTGCCTAGCCTATTGGATATCACTGTCACCTACACAGGACAGTCATTACCTTTCTATTAATACTTTGTTTTTTAATTTCACATTAATTTCCAAATTGTATAAACGACTGGAAAAAACTTGAGCCCCTGCCCCTGTATAATCATGTGCACGTCTCTGTTCTAGCTCTAAGGTAAATCTTCACTGCTCATGTTCTCCTCAGAAGCAGTCACCTCACTCCCCTCAGGTTACTGTACACATGCACCAACTGCCTGCTTCAGGTTTGGATGGAGCTTCATGGTTGTCTTTTGGAGAAATGACCAGTCAAGTTGTGTTTGAAATTTGATTTTTTTCAGGGGCAAAAGGAGCCTCTGCATTCTTGTCAAATATGTAAATAGCATGTTTTTGCAGGTGCTACAAACCAGACTCTGAGTGTGTGTGTGTGCGTGTGTGTGTGTGTCTGTGTGTGTGTGTGTGTGTGCGTTCAAGTCACATGACATATTTAACCGGATGTAGCTGCAAGACGGAGCCTCGTTGACTCTCCGTTTCAATTTATCTCAAAAGTGAGGACCTCAACCTATATACCAGTTTTTAAATTGTGTTGATAGGCCAAATAAAACCAGAGTTATGATAAATTATGTCCGCGATACTTGTTTTCTGCTTATTTTGATCACGTTCGGCGCTCGATCGCGCTGTATGAGACAGGAAAACATAGCATGCACACATTAGCGACAGGTCTTACAGGCGGAAAAGGCTTGCCAAAGGAAAAAAAATACACACCACAACATCTCTCCTATTGGTGGAAAACTTCACCACAACAACCAATCCAAAATTATATGGTGACTGATTGACAAGGGGCGGGAACTTACGTTCTTCCTGCAATATGAGAAGGGAGGGAGGGACTCTCAGCAGGGATGCAGTCTGGGACACGTAGTTGCAAACCTAGCGACTTTGTTGTTAGATTCAATGACTTTTCAGACCCCCTAACGACTTTTTTTAGAAAGAAAGTGACTTTTATCGACTTCTTCTGGAGTTTAGAGACTCTGACATGAAGCAGGCTTTCCTTACTGAGGAGTTAGCAACGCTGCTAAGGGTGCAGAGCCACACATGCGCTCCGAGCTCTGCATGGGAGACTGAAGCTGACAGAGCTGCAGCAGTTAGCAGGTTTCACCCTCAGAGACCACCAGGGGTTCATGTTGAGGCATTTTCAGTTTTTTTTTTTTTTTTTTTTTGCCATAGACACTGTCAGCACAATCTGCAGTTACACTAAAAAAAATGCTGCAAAAAACAAAGAATTATGGAAAAATTACACATGGACTAACATAGAGGAGGATCTACACAAGTTTTTTACATCATGTTTTACATCATGCATCATTTACATCATGTTTTTTTGTAGTGGCATAAATAAAAAGTGACATTTGTGAGACTATACAGTGTTTTGTAAATAATTTTACAAAGAACACCTGGGCCATTGCCTGCATTTTGATGTAAATAGAGGTAAATTACTATGTTCTTTGTTAAAAATTTGCATATGTTTTGAAGTTTACAATTTTTATTTGAAGTTTAAGTTTTAAAAACAGTTCATCACACATATTTGTGGTTTTCACAGTAAAAACGTTACTTTTTTCCACTCGGATTTTATGTTTTGTGTGTGAATTTGGGTCCAATGTGTAAATATAGTATGTCAAAATGATAAAATAACTGTAAATTGACACAGGTGAGGTTGTGCTGAAAAAAATGATACCAGGCAAGGCAAGGTAAAAATCTTGTAAGAGGAAATATAAAGGTAAAATCTAAAGTAGTCAAAAACGGCCAATAGTGACTCACAGACTCCACAGACAAGTCCCTTTGGCGCCACTCAGTGGGCAAAACTACTTTGTCTACTGTAATGTATATTTGGGTCATCTTTGGCGCCCCCTAAAACGTAAACCGTGGGGTGCAGCGTCATGATTTTTACAACTTTGAATGGCCATGGAGTGTAGATTGGCCTGAGCAAATTTGGTGTCAGTGGGACGAAAGCCTTAGGAGGAGTTAGCGAAATTCCAATGTGTGCGGATCGGCAAAAAATGCGGAATAACCCTTTAACCGTACATTTGACAGATACGCGCGCATTGACTTTTTCGTAGATCTAATTGAGATACATATGATTGTCAATTTTTGTGTCATTTTGCCAAAGCGTACAGGCGTGACAGTCAACAATGTGTATTTTCACCTTAGGGGACAAGAAAAAATGGACTTTTTTCTTCTGCCATGGGGGGGCGCTCTTTTGGGGAGTAAAAATTCCTTCACAAATGTGTTGATGGCTGGACATTGCATCATCCTAGAAAACTTGGAGGCCAGTGAGGACAAAAATAAAAAGTTATAGGACTTTTAAAAATGTGGATTTTTGGGTTATCTTTGGCGCCCCCTAGAACCTAAACCTTGGGGTGCAGCGTCATGATTTTGATAACTTTTAATGGCCACGGGGTGTAGATTGGCCTGAGCAAATGTGGTGCCGGTGGAACGAAAGCCTTCGGAGGAGTTAGCGAAATTCCAATGTGTGCGGATCGGCAAAAAATGCGAAATAACCCTTTAACCGTAATTTTGACAGATACGGCCGCACTGACTTTTTTGTAGATCTTATTGAGATACATGTGTGTGTCAATTTTTGTGTCAATATGACAAAGCGTACAGGCGTGACAGTCAATAGTGTGAATTTCCACCTTAGGGGGCGCTATGGAGCCATTTTGCATTTTATTGTTTGGGCGACTTCAGAATATCGAATTTTTCACCAGGCCCGGTCGTCCTGCCAAATTTCATGAGTTTTCGCCAGTGGGAAGTGGGCCATTTTCCAGTTCAAAGGGGAGGAAAAAGAAGAAAGAAAGAAAGAAAGAAAGAAAGAAAGAAACAAAGAAAAACCACTTGGGGAATAATAGGGCTCTCGCAGCTGCTTAGCAGCTACGCTCGGGCCCTAAAGAAGAATCCATCAGGAACAAGAGGGCTCTCGCAGCTTCTTAGCAGCTACGCTCGGGCCCTAAGAAAGAAAGAAACAAAGAAAAACCACTTGGGGAATAATAGGGCCTACGCCCGGCTGCTCTGCAGCTGGCTCGGGCCCTAACTAGGGCCCCGGTGGGGCACTGTCGGGCCCGAGCCGCGTCGCGCCACCCCCAGCGCGACCGCCTACCCCTCCCGATCGCGTCACACTCAAGGTCCAAAGATGGTGTGCGCACTTGTCTGTGGTCATTTACCATTATAATGAATGGGAGGCGCAGTTTCTACCAAAACGCTCGCTGCAGACAAACTCCATGTCCTTTTTGAAAAAAGTCTGGACCATGAGTGAGGGCACAAACACAGCTAGTATATATCCAAATGGCAAGTTGCTCCTCCTTTCGGTTTTGCCGAGAGAGCGATGCGTTTGAGCCATTGAGCGATGGGCAGGAAAAACTTGACTTTTTCTCCTGCCATGGGGGGCGCTCTTTTGGGGAGAAAAATTCCTTCACAAATGTGTTGATGGCTGGACATTGCATCATCCTAGAAAACTTGGAGGCCAGTGAGGACAAAAATAAAAAGTTATAAGACTTTTAAGACTGTGGATTTTTGGGTTATCTTTGGCGCCCCCTAGAACGTAAACCGTGGGGTGCAGCGTCATGATTTGTACAACTTTGAATGGCCATGGGGTGTAGATTGACCTGAGCAAATTTGAAGCCGATGGGACAAAAGCTTTAGGAGGAGTTAGCCACATTCCAATGTGTGCGAATCGGCAAAAAATGCGAAATAGCCCTTTAACCGTACATTGAACAGATACGCTCGCATTGACTTTTTCGTAGATCTTATTGAGATACATGTGTGTGTCAAACTTTGTGTCATTTTGACAAAGCGTAAAGGCGTGACAGTCAACAATGTGTATTTTCGCCTTAGGAGACAAGAAAAAATGGACTTTTTTCTCCTGCCATGGGGGGGCGCTCTTTTGGCGAGTAAAAATTCCTTCACAAATGTGTTGATGGCTGGACATTGCATCATCCTAGAGAACTTGGAGGCCAGTGAGGACAAAAATAAAAAGTAATAAGACTTTTAAGACTGTGGATTTTTGGGTTATCTTTGGCGCCCCCTAGAACGTAAACCGTGGGGTGCAGCGTCATGATTTGTACAACTTTTAATGGCCATGGGGTGTAGATTGGCCTGAGCAAATGTGGTGCCGTTGGAACGAAAGCCTTCGGAGGAGTTAGCGAAATTCCAATGTGTGCGGATCGGCAAAAAATGCGAAATAACCCTTTAACCGTACATTTGACAGATACGCCCGCACTGACTTTTTTGTAGATCTTATTGAGATACATGTGTGTGTCAAATTTTGTGTCATTTTGACAAAGCGTAAAGGCGTGACAGTCAACGATGTGTATTTTCGCCTTAGGAGACAAGAAAAAATGGACATTTTTCTCCTGCCATGGGGGGGCGCTCTTTTGGCGAGTAAAAATTCCTTCACAAATGTGTTGATGGCTGGACATTGCATCATCCTAGAGAACTTGGAGGCCAGTGAGGACAAAAATAAAAAGTTATAAGACTTTTAAGACTGTGGATTTTTGGGTTATCTTTGGCGCCCCCTAGAACGTAAACCGTGGGGTGCAGCGTCATGATTTGTACAACTTTTATTGGCCATGGGGTGTAGATTGGCCTGAGCAAATGTGGTGCCGGTGGAACGAAAACCTTCGGAGGAGTTAGCGAAATTCCAATGTGTGCGGATCGGCAAAAAATGCGAAATAAACCTTTAACCGTACATTTGACAGATACGCCCGCACTGACTTTTTTGTAGATCTTATTGAGATACACGTGTGTGTCAAATTTTGTGTCATTTTGACAAAGCGTACAGGCGTGACACTCAATCATGTGAATTTTTCACCTTAGGGGGCGCTATGGAGCCATTTTGCATTTGATTTTTTGGGCGACTTCAGAATATCGAATTTTTCACCAGGCCCGGTCGTCCTGCCAAATTTCATGACTTTTCACCAGTGGGAAGTGGGCCATTTTCCAGTTCAAAGGGGCAGAAAAATAATAAGAAGACTAGGGCCCCGTTGGGGCACTGGCGGGCCCGAGCCGTGTCACGCCGCCCCCAGCGCGACCGCCTCCCCCACCCGATCGCGTCACACTCAAGGTCCAAAGATGGTGTGCGCACTTGTTTGTGGTCATTTACCATTATAATGAACGGGAGGCGCAGTTTCTACCAAAACGCTCGCTGCAGAAAAACTCCATGTCCTATTTGAAAAAAGTCTGGACCATGAGTGAGGGCACAAACACAGCTAAGATATATCCAAATGGCAAGTTGCTCCTCCTTTCGCTTTTGCCGAGAGAGCAGTGCGTTTGAGCCATTGAATGATGAACAGGAAAAACTTGACTTTATTCTCCTGCCATGGGGGGGCGCTCTTTTAAAGAGAAAAAACTCCTTCACAAATGTGTTGATGGCTGGACATTGCATCATCCTAGAAAACATGGAGGCCAGTGAGGACAAAAATAAAAAGTTATAAGACTTTTAAATATGTGGATTTTAGGGTTATATTTGGCGCCCCCTAGAACCTAAACCGTGGGGTGCAGCGTCATGATTTGAATAACTTTTAATGGCCATGGGGTGTAGATTGGCCTGAGCAAATGTGGTGCCGGTGGAACGAAAGCCTTCGGAGGAATTAGCGAAATTCCAATGTGTGCGAATCTGCAAAAAATGCGAAATAACCCTTTAACCGTACATTTTACAGATACGTGGCCATTGACTTTTTCGAAGATCTTATTGAAATACACGTGTATGTAAAATTTTGTGTCAATACGACAAAACATACAGGCGTAGCACTCAACAATGTGTATTTTCACCTTAGTGGACAAGAAAAAATGGACTTTTTTCTCCTGCCATGGGGGGGCGCTCTTTTGGCGAGTAAAAATTCCTTCACAAATGTGTTGATGGCTGGACATTGCATCATCCTA